CCGGAGCCTGGTCCCCACGAGGGGAAACCCTGTTTTTGGGTCAGGGGTTAGAGTTAGGACTAAGGTGTGAATTGAGTTTTAGTTAGGGTTAGGGTTAGGTATGTGATGGGTAGGGTTAGGAAAAGGGTATAGGTAAGGTTTAGGCTGTAGAAATGAATGGAAGTCAATGGAAAGTCCCCACAAAGATGGCCAGATAAACGTGTGTGTGTGTGTGTGTGTGTGTGTGTGTGGGGGGGGTGTGTGTGTGTGTGTGTGTGTGTGTGTGTGTGTGTGTGTGTGTCATGGTATGTTTACTTGGCAGAGGAAGCTGACACACCTCTGTGCTCATGTCTAGTTTGTGGATGGGTTGCAGCTTGTAGAGCTCGCTCTGTATTCGAAACAAAAGCAGCCCCAAGCTAGACTTTTACACAACCTATGGACAAAGTCATTTTAAATAGTACAAAATCCAACTTTTTTCAGCTTAATGAGCTACTTGTTTAATTTAAGCTGCGTCATTTTGATGCAAGAGCTCTCTGATGTTAAGATGACCACCCTCACAGGAACCACTCCCAAACTGTGTGTTTCGTGTAGCCTCGAGCCTCATATTTACGTGTAGCTTTATTTCATTTTATTAGAGCAGCAGAATCCCTGTAACCAGGGTGAAATCCAGTTCAGCTGCACAGCTAAGTCGATTACCATCTCTTGTGTAAACCATCTGGGCTCACATCTGTTGACAGAGGTCTTGGCTGCAGCTGCAGTAAAACTTTACTCTGACATCAGAAGTGGGCTGTAGCTAGCCCCTGAAATGCATCCTCACCGTCTATTCAAGAGGTTTGAGCAAAGTAATGGGACCAAATCGAACATAGTGAAATTAATATACATTAAATTTGGGAAATTGTCAAGTTATTTTAGTATTGATACTTCTCTCGTGAGTTTTGGGTGTTTGCTATTTCTAAAATGTGAGCTACGATGTGTGAAAAGTTGTGTAGGAAACCTCAAAGGTGTAGACACAGGAAGACTGTCCTGTTCCTCTTCTGGTGCAGCAGAAGTTCAGCATATTGTTATCTCTGTCCACCCGCCTGGGTACCACTTTGACGCTTTTTCGAGTGGTAGGTTTTACTTTTATTTAGGCTCAACACTGTCCTCATTCTCTTTGCTTTATGGATGTTTCTGTTTCACCACTTAGCAGAGGATTAAGACCCTCTGAGGGCCATTAGCAGCGGCGTAAATTAGGCATCAGGTGGTATGAGATCCGCATACTTGACAGCATTGGGTAAAAATATCTCTGTTTCACTGTGTTATTGTATTTAGACTATAGTTTTAAGCTAAAACGCAGAATATGATTTACTACTGTTTTTATTTTGTTGTTTTTTTTGTCACCAGATTTATTTCTAAAGGGCTGAAGGTCTTATAAGCAAGTGAAAAGAAACGTTCCTACTGAGTTTTTATAAATGTCAGCCCTTCTTCAGTGCTTTCATCTTTTATTTATCATTCCACTTTCTAAAACTGAATCAGAATTTTAGAAAAAAAATTATTAAAGGTCATTTTACTGGGCTTTTTGCTTCTAGATTTGTTGATAGATTTGAAGCACTTGTGGTCGTTAATGACAACAAAAACCAAACAGGAACATTTATTTGTTCATGAAGTTGTCAAGACTTGAATTATTTTCGCTGAATTCACAACATCCCAGACAAATTTCTTTTATTCCATCATTTGGGGGCAGCTCTTTTAATTTCAGAGCATTATGACTTGCATCCATAATGACTTTTATCACATTGTTAAATCAGAATCCTCTATGGTTTCATCTTTTATGGGGAACCACAAATGATACAAACTCAACAAGATATGATTTAACCCTTACTGTGATATAAACTGACTGTAACTGATAAGAGTATCGATTTTAGAAATGTAAAACTTGAAGAAACGCTGAAATATACTGTTGTATCCTTTCTGCTGGCTGATTGGCCACAGATCAGCCAGTATGTTGGTGCAAAACTCAGAGAAAATGCTTTCTCTGGTCATTCTTAAGAACAGTAAATGTGACAATTTCTGAAACCTTATGATTCCTTGATACCGATTATGACGAGTTTAAAAGCTCAAAAGGTTAAAACCAAAAAGCCTTCATGTCAAATGTTTGGCTCTCTCTCGCTTTCTCACAGCCTGAATAAACTGAGACACGTCTCATCATGTCTTGGCCGACTTAGTGGCTTTGAAGCTGTAACCTTTTGAAATCTCAGTAGAGTTTGATACAAGTTACCGGACTTTGCCTAGAGTAAACGGAGTGATGTGCTTTGTCCATAATGAAACTGAGAGGAATGCACCCTGGCCTCTGAGTCCAGAAAGGACTCTCCGCTGTGACACCCAGTCAGCTGGCATGTTAGCCACGATAAATACGCCAAAGCTAAGGTGGTCCAAATGAATGTGGCTCGGCTTCTGCTCTGTCTCCGTTCTGTCTGCCCTACTACGACACCGATGACAGGCATACCTGATCCCCATTTTCAGGCTTACAAACTTGGCAAAGGTGACAACCTCATGATACTATGGTGTTATTTGGAGGTTAAATACAGGCTGGGCACGTGGAGCACTAAAAACCTAGTCGGAGCCTGCGCTAACAGAGTGAAGGAGGAGCTGATTGCACCTCTTATATACCGTAGTGATACCACTCCCTTAGTTGGGCATGCTTGTGTTGATAAGAGCTCGGCTTTCTCTGTTTCACCTTATTTTGGATTCCTTGGCTGACTGAAGACTGCTGTTGGTGCTTTCTTGTTCGTGTAAGTAGTATCTCCTTCGTTAGAGCTGGTTCCAGCAGAGGGATAAACCTTTAACTCCTGTGAGTTTAATTTTAACCCCTCCCTCCCTTCTCCGCTGTGACCCTCTCCTCTGCTCCCACACTTTTGGGTTCCCTTGAATCTGATAGTTGGGAGAGGTAGTTCCTGCCTGGCATACTGTAAACTGGGTTTAGCTGCTGCTTTCTCTGTTGCCATCTCCTCCCTACCTCTTAGGAATACAGAGTGTCTTTTTCTAAAGTACGTCTCACCTCTGCGTTGTCTTGAAATGCTGAGTTTCTAATTTTCTTCTCAGTGTTTAGGGCTTCAGAGTGGTGTTTGCTGCTCAGCACACCTTGGCGACTCACATCATGTAGAATATTATATATATTTTATAGTGTCTTATCAGCTAGTTTTAGTTAGACTTTAAGTCAATAATCAAAAGGAAAAGCTGTCAGTTATAGATAGATTAAATATTTTTAGTTTGTACTACAAGCTTTTAGAAATACTTCCTCTATATTGCTAAAGGCTATGTTCTCTCACCTACTATTTTAGCTTGTGTTCCCCTTGAAATATTACATAGTGTTGGTGACAATCAGCTTGTAGATGAGGAAACTTTCGCATGATCACACATTTGAACTAGTGCTCTTGGATTTGAAACACTGTTGGCATGGAAGGGTCATTAAGTAACCAAAGGAGTGGCTGTCACAGCCTGCGTGATTCAACTTTTACAACCTCAGATCGCCTGATGTCAGCTCACATGGGCTTTTGACAGATTGCGAAAGAAGCAATAATTACTTGCCGATGGTTTGCGAGCAGAATGCAGGATGAGTTGAACATTACTCACAACGAGTCCATGGTGGAGTACTCAGATATGGGAGGCTGGATTGCATAATTTTATTTCCGTTTAGTAAAAAGAGGAAGTTGTAGATCTTTTTAATAATGACTCTATATGGTTTTGCTTGCAATAATGTTTTCTCAACCTTCAGGGAAGCTGGGAAAGGCAACAAGCAACAGTTTTGGTGCTTATCCAGAAGGTTTCTTTTGTTGACACTTTCCATTTTGGTAAAGTTTTAACCTGCGGTGACTGATGTTAGCCCAGTCCAGTTTCTCTGCAGGAGCCACAGGATGTAAAAATATAAGAACAGCGACAGAAAATATTATTTTCTAACCTTTCAGACATGAGCTGTTATTAATTGTTCACTTTAAAACAGGATTTTACTGTTTTAAGTATGTTTTTATTTCAAATCAAATAGTGATTATATTTTAAAATTGACTTTTTTATATCATGTTACGACATTTTTGTCTCATAATGCATACACAGAGTGTTGCTTTGACTTATTCATGCATGCTTAAGAAATCTTTGAATCTCCCATGGCAGCCTTTCAGGGTTCACACTTGCCCAAAGCTCCTCCATAGAGCTGCAGTCTCCAGCTAAGTTTCCACCCCACAGGACACACCTCCAGCCACACTGCTCCACCAGACTAGCAGCAGCAGCAATTACCAAACACCTGGTGGAACTGCAAGTCTGTTGAGCTGATCATACCAACCAAAATGCTTGTAAATGGCGTTAATAGACGGCATGTAGAAGCATGGTTGTGATAATGTGCTGATGGCAGAGTGTCGGAGTAGGAGGTTCTTAAATAGACAGAGGCCCATTTTCAAAGTGTCAATTTCTTTTTGGTTTTTAATAAATGCAAAAACATTTTTGATAAATGCTTTGATAATTTATTTTTACTTGGTGATGTTAATAAAAATGTGACTGAACGTACATAATACTGCCACTTTAAACTCTTTTTAGCATTTTATATTAGCAATTTGCACAGTTAACATTAGCACAGTTAGCAGCAGCCTCTGTTCTGCTGTTCTTTATTGGATCTGGATCTTTACCATAGTTCTAAGTTTTTTAAAAGGCTGCCAACATTTCATGTTGCATGCCAGACTTGGGTTGAAACCTCAAATGGACAAAACACATCAGTTATGCTGCTCTCAGTTTAGCTTTCCTGCATTCTGCTTAAAGGTCAATGCTAGCTGGAGATGCTAACATATAATACATTTGCAGAATGATTGAATATGTAATGTTTCCAATTGCTTAAGGCTCTGATCAGGGCCAATCAGGCTGAAAATCATCAGTCTGGTCTTTTAGTTTCCTATTTTGATTCTAACTAGGAGAGTATAATTTAATTTAAAAAATACTACAGTTAGACTTAAGATCAGTATCAAAATTAAGTGTGTCCTGATTGTTTTCTTTCTTAGATGCTTTGTTGGCGGACCTCGAGTCCACAACATCCCACATTTCCAAATGCTCACTCTTCCTGCCTGACGAAGCCGCCTACTCCCTGCCTGTTGGGGGTCAGGACCAGAAAGACATCTGCTCTCCGCCGGTGAGAAGTGTGAATGGAGTAGATGATTCAGAGGTAAATGAACACACGCTCTACGTGTCATTGTGTTCGTCCAAAGCTGTTGCAACAAAATTGCATGACTTCTCTGAGGAACCGACTGTAAGTTCGCCAGTTCATTGGTGGATGATTGCTTTATATTCTTATTTTTCAGTCGTTCAGCTCAGCTCAGAAAAGTCAGTGGTCTAGAGAAAGCAGCAGTCCAAACCAACCCTGTGGAGAGGAGGACCACGTTTACAGGTTAGGATGATGCGTGATGGGTTTAATTACCTTTTTAAAACCTTAGATGGTAGAGACTTTATGTAACAATTAGATATTCCCTCAGTCATACAAGAGCTTATTTTAACATTTGGCATTGTGCTATGTTAGAAAACCCAAGAAAATATGGATGTTTAAAACAAGTGCAGGTTCTAAACACTTGTTTTATTTTTGTTGTCCAGTTTTCCTAACAAGCAGAAGACCAGCGAGTCGTCATCATCACCGGCTGCCATGAACTCGTCACTGGGCAGCAACCTGTCTGAACTGGACCGCCTGCTGTTGGAGCTCAACGCTGTCCAGCAGAGCACCCCTGCCTTCCCCACAGAAGGTGCTTCCTTCAATTTCTCATAATTCTCTGAAAGGACTGACATGTCACCATTTATATTTAACACTTCTGTTTTTGTGGTTGGGTGGTTCTGCTTCCTGTGCTGTCCTTTGCTCGTTCTGCTGTTGTGTTTGAGTTTACAGTCAAATTAACTTTGTATGTGCACAGAAGATTGAAATGAATCTTTTTTTGTTTTGTTTTAAGAAGTAGCTCCACCGCTGCCTGCAAGCAGCACCATCCGCCACATCCAGGAGAACGGGCTCTCTGCTCCCGGTAAAATCCCTCCACCCACCCTGGAAAAGCCGAAGCATGTCGTAGCAGCGCGACGAATCCAGGATGCACGACCGAGTGTGGAGAGCCTTCTGGATGAGCTGGAAAGCTCTGTGCCCACGCCCATGTAAGAGTAAAGACTTGTGGGCAATAAGTCGCCACATTAAAAACAATACGAGTCACACGGTTCATTTTTGTGTCTTCCTGTTTTAGTCCCACACCCTTGGTCGTCTCAGATGAACCGAATGATGGACAAGCGGAGACCCTGTCTCAGCAACAAGCCAGAATGTCTGCGTCCTCTGCCACACGAGAGCTGGATGAACTCATGGCTTCCCTGTCTGACTTCAAAGTCCAAAGCAATGTGAGTGGGGTTCAAAAGTGGGCAGACTGGCTATTTGAGATTTTCACACTTAATCACAGAGAGGTATTTTTAGCATTGACTGCTTGTTCTTGTGTTCGCTCACTTTAACTGTGCAAATTAAATGGGTTGGTTTTCTTTATGTGTTTTCTCTTGTTCTGCTTACATGCACATGGAAAGTTTTCTGTTTTACCGTTTTCTTTATCAGCAGTTGACTTTCAGGCATAAAAAAATACCCATGCATCGGCTAAGCTTTCCAGGGACATAGTTACAACTAAGGGTATGATTTTTGTCTTGTACAGACTTAACTTTCATTCCTAAATTTAATTTAGTTATATTAAATGTTGAATCTTAGTATTATTGCCACTTGCTGAAGGGTTTTTATTTGTTTTTATTTTATTTTTTATTTTATCATGCTGTCACTGTTCAGTGCAGCGTCCATGAATGGACAGAGCATGGTACAATCATAAACCTACAAAGTCAGTGAACTTACAGGGCAATAGAGGTTAGAAAAGACTTGAGACACTCACTAAATTTATAACCAGAGTTACAGAGGAAGGTGTAGTTTGTGATGCAACATGTAAAAAAAATTCAACTCCACTTTCTTTTCAAGTATATGACCTTTTGAGGTAATCTGTAAAAGCAGGTGTAGAAAACTAGAATGGCATTAAAATGTATTTCATTAATTCAGGCTTATGTTTTTATGTATTCTGTAGTTTCATAAACACCTTCTGTAACACACTATTGTTCTTTTCCTCTACTCACTTCTTATTGTCTTGCCCTTATTTTTCTTTCTCTATCACTGTTTGTTGTCTTTGTTTGTCCAACTCCTCCATTTCACCACTGTGCCCACTCAGTCCGGCTCTCAGTTGTCTGTCAATCAGGAGTGTGGTGACCCTATTCTTGCCACTGGATCACTGGATTCCCAACCCGTAGCAGGCCCATCAATAACTCCTCAGGATGCTCCTCTGCCTCTGGGCTCCACTTCCCTGTCTTCTGCTTCTCTTTCATTGGAACTTCACATAGATGAGGACGGTTGCTCTGTCCCTACATGTCCAACTGTAATCACATCTTCTAAGAGCCTTCAGTTCTCCCAAATCCAGCAGAAAGATCATGATGGAAGTGTCACGTCTGAGGTATGTTTGGAGGGCTTCGGTGTCTCCAGTTCTTTGAAGCCTCCCACCCAAGCAGAAGTTGGCAGTCTTGCTCATACTTCGGTTACAAAATCGTCTGCGTGTAAAGATGCTGCTCCCAGGAGCTCCAGTCCAGCCACTGTACCCAAGAGTCCAGTTACTCAGTCTAAAATCCATAGTCTCACTAAAGCAAAAAATCCCAGTCCTGCTGACATAAAATCTAAAAGCTTTGCCTCTAAAAGTCCTAGTCCTCAAGTAGTTACGAAGAGTGAAAGTCCAACTGCATCCAGCCCTCTGGATGCAGTTCCAAGGACGTCTAGTCCCATAACCGTTCCTAGGCTTTCAAGTCCAGTTCCAAAATGTCCAAGTCCCTTGACCATCCCTGCTCTCTCTAGCCCACTATCTGTCCCAAGAAGTGCGAGTCCCGACACGGTTGGACGAAGCTCTAGTCCTGTGACTATTCCATTTCTTTTTAGTCCCGTTCCAAAGACTGCAAGTCCTTTGACTCTTCCTAATAAATCCACTCCTCTAGTTTTACCCAAGAGCTCTGGTGCTGAAGCAATCCCAAGAAATTCCTCCCCAGTAACACTTCCAAGGCTTTCAAGTCCAGTAACGGTTCCAAAAATGGACTCTTGGGTTCCTAATGGTAGTCCTCAGCTCTTGAGAAAAACATTCACTACCTCAGGCACCAGTAGCCCCAGAGCGTCTCCAGTATCTCTTGCCGCTGTACCAGTGAACACCCAATACTCCCCAGAAAACACAGGAGATGTCTTGGATTTAACATGGCCATGCCGCGAACCTTTACTGGACGATACCTTAGATAAAATCCTCACTCCTGATTCTAATCGACTGGTTGAGAACCAGCCTCCTGTCTGTGTTGTACCTGGCGACGAAGACAAATCCTGGGAGGAGGAAGATGGATTTTACCCTGAGTATAGCAGAGAGGGAACCTTGACACCCATGACTGAGTCCAGCTGGATAGATGAGTGCTTCACTCCCTCCTCCTGCCCCGGGACGCCAGATGCAACGCTGGACCTGCCAGTACAGCAGCCCTCCGCTGTGGATCGACTGTCGGCTTCCGGTCAAGTAGGCAATCTCAGCTCTCCCAAAATAAGCTGCTGTCATGAAACTCGACGGCTCATGTGGCATTTCTATAACTCTTCCTCATACAAGCAAGCTATTGACAATGGTTGTGTCATAAGAATTTCTAACCCCAAATACGGATAAAAAACAAACAAAAAGAAGCTTATTTTGGGTGAACTGTTTGTTCAGGTCTTGAAAGGGTTGTGAAATGGTACAAACATGTTGAGAGATTTTTCATTCTCTGTGGTGTGATGCATGTGGTGTCATACAGCAATCACAGAATGGCTTGAGGGAGTAGTCTTGACAATGATGTTGAAAGCTTTGCTGGAAGGTTGTCGACGCAAGTTTGCACTTGCTTTTCTTAGACGTCAGTCTGCTTCCCATCTGATGGCTAGATAAAAGTGGATGCGAAGAGTCCTGGTAATGCTCATAGATTTCTCAATATTTAGGTTGATGTCATCTGTAGAAATTTGGTGGTTTAATTTCTCATTATTTGAAATGGAGATGCGCTGCTCGAGTTTTATTTTCCACTTGGTGTGTGAATTGGAGAGCAGCTGCTGTAGATCAGCGTTTAACTGTTGAGGCAAAGTTGAAGTTATTGCAGAGTATGTTTATGTTGGCATTTAGTGTGGTTAACATTGCTAACTGTTAACATCTGTCTCAGTGTGTATTCCCAGACCAATGGTTCCCAACTGGTCAGCATTGTGGTCAGACGAATTGCGACCTAAACCAAGGAAATCTTTCAGTTTTTAAAATCAATCATTTATTCAAACATTAATCATGTGACTCACCAACTATATCAATCAGTAACAGCTGTTTTAACTCCAAGATTTTTTTACTCCTAGATTTCCAAACAGGCAGAGAGTAAAGAAAAAAACAGGTGCATATTGCAACTGATATTGTCACTGGAATATTTGCCAACATAAGCGCAGTCGCAAGATTTTCTACCGTCATCCGTCCCTAAAATGCATTTTGTTTTAAGTCTCTGTGTTTGTCTCTGACTTCATTGTAATCTTCCACAGCAAAGAGTGTCGCTGCTTGTGTGAAGTGTTGGCTCTTATGAATTGTGCATTCACTGACAGGGATAAGGCTTTTCTAATTTTCCAACCAGCTGCTGAAACTATGGCACACCTCTTCGCCAGTAGATTTCTCAGTGCATCTCTAACTTTAGCAATCCAGCATGCTTTTTAAATGTCTTTAAATTTGAGGTTGCGGTGTTTTGGTTCGTAAGTCATTAAACTTTTGAATGGAAAGCATTTTGGCAGTTATAACCTGAAGCGAGTGGCTGAGTGTTTTGCCTCTGTAGTGAGAAGTCGTGCACTGGCACCGTCGAGCTTGCTATGCAGTTTGTATGGGATTTACCGATAAATGGCATGAACCCGGCTTCTCACACCTCCTTATCATCCGCTCTCCAGCTGAAGTCAGTAATCCGCCGCACCAAAGAGACGTCCAATGTGCATCCGATGTTCAGGGAGGGATTGCTCAGACGTAAGATGGGACCAATTATTGTTAATAAAAGCAACTCGCAAGATCGACTCATTGAGGAGCTGCAGGGCAAGCTGGGGATTGGGCGAGTGGAGCGCAGGCGGAAGCAACAGCCAGATGATTGGCTGACAGAGGGAGTCATCGTTATGTCCAACCCACAGAGAACGCGGGAGGAAGGGATCCAGCCGTCTGTGGATAAGGTACACCGATGCCAAGGAGCTGTATCAGGATCGTGCTCTATCAAGTTGGACATTAAGTTCCTGGTTTTGGCAGTTTTAAGAAGTTTGAGTTCGTTTATGGCTTTTCCATTCTATCTGCATTCCTGTCCTTTCTCTGTTTTCCTTCCTTTCTCCTTCTTTCCACCAGATCATCATCCCCCCCGAATCACCTGCCCCACAGAGAAAAGTGCTCCCTCCTCCGCAAACTCCCCCGCCGCCCAAAAAGCCCCCACCAGTCAAGCAGACACCCCCACGGCTACCCCCTCCACCTCCTACGCCTCCTCCTCCTCGAGAGCCCACCCCTCCACCCCCCAAGGAGCC